TGACTAACGAAATGACCTTTGATAGGACCGCATGGAGAAGAATGATTCATGTAACCGACTCTATTTGATGGGACTTAAAGTTTGGTTTGGTTTTACATTTTAAAAAATAAATAAATAAAAACAATACTTATATTAAATAGGAAAGACTATGATACACTCTCTCAAAAAGTGTGTCATATGCACCTTATAATTAAATATATACATATATATAATTAATTTTATACTTTATGAGTGATGACTAAAAAGAATTTATCAAATATTACCTAAGGTATAATTAAATATCTAACGAGTTATAACTTAAAAAAAAAAGAAAATTAATCACAATAAAAAAGAGAAATAATCATAATTAAAAGTACACATATATAACTCTTTCGTGCGATGTAGCAGTGATCCCACTTATTATCACAGTGTGTGTTGTGTCTTGTTTGTTTGTTTTTTTTTTTCTTTCCATTTGTAGTGATTTTTAAAATAAAAAATTTGAAAGTTTTATGTTTCTACATTCAAGCCAACGAGATGAACTAAAAAATTTAAAAAGTCCAAAAAAAAAAAAAAAGTCCTCAAAAGATTTAAAAAAATAAAAAATAGTAGACTTTGTAGAAAAAATTTCAATTTACTTCCCAAACTATATTTCGATGATCAATTTAACTCTTATACTTCTTATAATTTCAATTTGACACTTGAAACTATTCAATTTTATATCAATTTCACCTTTGTTGTCACCTGCCATGTATAATTAGATGACATTTGTTGCTGTCTTTATTTGAGATTTCATTTTATCCCCTAAATTATTCCCAAAATATCAATTAGATCCATAAACAATATAAATTTGAGGTCTAATTGATATTTTTTAGATAGTTTGGGGGGCAAAATAAAATTTCAAACAAAATTTCGATACCACATCAGTAATGTCTGCTTGATTATAAACGGTAGCTAACAGCCGGGGATAAAATTGATTAAAAATCAAATAATTTAGGTATAAAATTAAAATTATAAGAAGTACGTAGATTAAATTGATCAACGAGGTATAATTTAAGAGGTAAAATAAAATTTTCTCAAAATTTTAAGCTTATTTTTGACTTTTAATTTCTTTTTGAAAATTTTCAATTTTGTTTTATTTTTAGATTAGTTTACACAAGACGGACGACAAAAGTAAAACAGTTTTTATTGCAATGAGTTGTATTGTGTATATTCAAGATAATGTAGGGTGACAAGTGGGTTTTGGAGTTCCTGCAATGCTCATGTTCTTGTCGTCTTTTTCCTTCTTTTTGGCTTCTCCTTTCTATGCCAAGGTGAAGGTGAAATCGAGCCTGGTTGTTGGGTTTTTTCAAGTAATTGTTGCCTCTTACAAGAACAGGTATTTTGAATTATCATCGCAAAGCTCGAATGTGTCGTACTACCACAAAAAAGGATCAATGCTGGTTATTCCGAGCGAGAATCTAAGGTATTATGCACTCAATTGTCCACATCATGTGTCGCACCCCAAATCCGGGGCATGATCGGCCGTGGTTCACAGGGACTCAGCCCAAGGCACGTGTAAGCCTAAACATGAACCCAAAATCACAAAGAATAAATGTGATGATAGCCTATAAATAAATAAATCAAAACCCAATCCAATGACAAGTCACAAGTATAAATGGCAAAACCAACCATAACCAACTTCCAAAATATATACTAAATGGAACACAAATCGCTCACAAAATAAAATAATTCTAAATAAAAATCCAACCACAATGTATGCACAAAACCCGACATAACAAGCTAAAACAAAATAAATGAATGTCCTAAAGGTCCATGCAATTGAGTCCCCACTATGCCATAAGTCCAGTCTAAGTCCTTCTAATACCTGGAAGTGATAAACAACTAAGTCAGCTGATAGCTCAGTGAGTAGCAACATGGATAGCAAATACAGTTTTTAAAATAGGGTTCAATTCCAAAATAAAATATATATCACAGAAACTAGATTGACATACAGCTTTGATACAGATAATCTGTTTAAAAAGTGCAAATGGACGAGATCTTACAAGAGATATCCATAGGAGAGAACCTGGTTATAGGTGGAGATTTTAATGGCCATGTAGGCATAGATAAACTAGGTTATGAAATGGTGCATGGTAGATATGGTTTTGGTGATAGAAATGAGGCTAGAGAGAGTATCTTAGATTTTGTGTTAGCTTCTGACCAGGTGGTGGCCAATACTATGTATAAGAAGAGGGAGGAGCATTTGATAACCTTTAAAAGTGGGTCAGTTAAGAGTCAAATAGATTACTTCTTAGTGAGAAAAGTGGACCGCCTAAAATGCAATGATTGTAAGGTGATTCCTGGAAAGAGCCTGGTCTCTTAACATAGGATTTTGGTACTAAATTTATGCTTTAGAGGGCAATACCAAGCTAGGAAGGATGGTGGGTGGCGTAGGACGAGATGGTGGGATCTAAAAGAGAATAAACTAGAAATATTTAAGAATAGAATGGATAAGGAAGGTACTTGGGACTTGAAAGATGATACTAACACTATGTGGAACTCGATGGCCAACTGAATGAGGAGAATCTCAAGGGAAGTGCTTGGAGAGTCGAAAGGGATGGGACCTAGCTCTAAGGAAACTTGGCGGTGGAGGGAAGAGGTTCAAGCGGTAGTTAAGGCAAAAAAATAGTGCTTTAAAACATGACAGAAGGATAGAACTGAGGAAAACTTTAAAAGCTATAGATTGGCTAATAAGGAGGTCAAAAAAGTGGTGAGAGAGGCTAAGTTGAAAGCTTATGATGACCTATACACTAGACTATATAGTAAGGAGGTACAAACTTACTAAGATACGGGAGAGAAAAATAAGAGATTTTAATCATGTTAAGTGCATCAAGAGTGAGGATTCTAAGGTATTAGTGAAGGATGAAGAGATTAAGGAAAGATGGAAGAACTATTTTGAGAAACTATTAAATGAGGAACATGTAGATACAACAATAGGAGAAAAAATAGCTAGTAATACGATAAACCAAGATTATAGGTTCTATCGCAGGATTAAGAACTTTGAAGTGGAGATTGCACTTAAGAAGATGAAATCAAATAAAGCTGTAGGACCCGATGATATCCCTATAGGAGTTTGGAAGTGTTTGGGTAAAAAGGGGGTTGCTTGGTTGGTTAGATTGTTTAGTAAAATTTTGTTGACTAGGAACATGCCAGATGAGTGAAGAAAGAGTATTTTAATGTCAATCTATAAGAATAAAGGAGATGTCTAGAATTGCAATAACTATAAAGGAATCAAGCTAATGTGTCATATAATAAAAGTGTGGGAGAGCTGATGGAACGCCGATTACGAGATATAACAGAGGTGTCAGAGAATCAATTTGGGTTTATGCCTGGCAGGTCAACAATGGAAGCAATTTATCTTTTGAAGAGAGTAATAGAAAAATATAGAGAAAAGAAAAGAGATATTCATATGGTGTTTATTGACCTTGAGAAAGCATACGATAGAGTAGTGCCTCGGAATATAATATGGTGGGTGTTAGACAATAAAGGAGTGACAAAAGGTTACATTTATGTGATTAGGAACATGTATGAAAGGGTGGTGACCATTATTAGATCGCTTGTTGGAGAGACAAATGAATTTCTTATTCTTGTAGGGTTACACCAATGATCTACCTTAAATCCTTATCTTTTTGCTTTAGTTATGAATGAGTTGACGAGAAATATTCAAGATGATGTGCCACGGTCTATGTTTTTTGCAAACGATATTGTGCTAGTAAATGAGACTAGAGAAGGAGTTAACGTAAAATTGGAGATTTGGAGAAAAACTCTTGAATCTAAAGGATTCCGGATAAGCAGAACTAAGACAGAGTACATGGAGTGTAAATTTAGTAACAGTAACAGTAACAATGAAAGTAGAGGAGAATTGAAGATTAAGAACCAATAACTACCTAAGAGTGAACATTTTCGTTATTTAGGGTCAATTATCACAACAGCAGGGGAGATTGATGCGGATGTGGCCTATAGGATTAAGGTGAGATGGTGTAAATGGAGAAGTGCACCTGGGGTACTGTGCGATAAACGAATACGTACTAGACTAAAAGGTAAGTTCTGTAGAATGGCTATTAGACCAGCGATGTTGTATGGGATGGAGTGTTGGGCAACCAAGAAACAATATGTAGATAAGATGAGTGTGACTAAGATGAGGATGCTCAGGTAGATGTGTGGCAAGACTAAACAAGACAGAATTAGGAATGAGTGTATTTGGAAATGGGTAGGAGTAGCACCAATAGAAGATAAGTCGAAAGAGAATCGATTGAGATGGTTTGGTCACATTCAATGGAGACCAATAGAGGCTGTAGTGAAGAGATGCGATAATATAACGGTAGATGAGAGTGTTAGGGGACGTGATAGGTCTAGATTAACGTTGGTTGGTGTTGTAAATAGAGATATGGATCTACTTAATTTGACTAACAAAATGACCTTTGATAGGGCCGCGTGGAGAAGAATGATTCATGTAACCGACTCTATTTGATGGGACTTAAAGTTTGGTTTGGTTTTACATTTTAAAAAATAAATAAATAAAAACAATACTTATATTAAATAGGAAAGACTATGATACACTCTCTCAAAAAGTGTGTCATATGCACCTTATAATTAAATATATACATATATATAATTAATTTTATACTTTATGAGTGATGACTAAAAAAAAAAATTTACCATGTATTACGTAAGGTATAATTAAATATCTAACAAGCTATAACTTAAAAAAGAAAATTAATCACAATTAAAAAAGAGAATTAATCATAATTAAAAGTGCACATGTATAACTCTTTCGTGTGTATAGTAGGATTTTTCATATTAAAGATTCAGATCTCTAATTATAGGTGTCACTAGTGATATAGCAGTCGTCCCACTGAATATCACAGTGTGTGTTGTGTCTCGTTTGTTCGTTTGTTTGTTTGTTTTTTTTTCTTTTCTTTCCATCTGCACCTCACTATAGTGATGGGTCATTATATTGTTTCTAAAAATATAGATGAAAAAAAAAAAAATCCCTGTCCTAAGGGCCCAAACTGGAAAAAGACGGTATCTGTCTTGAGATCCAAGAAAAGTTATATACTTGTTCACATTCAGTACATTCAGTGTTGTTGATGATATATACAAAAATAGCAGAAATCAGAAGGCATTTTTAGCTGTACTAGAAGGAGAGGGAAGGAAGAATGAGCAGCATAGGAACAGGTTACGATCTCTCAGTCACCACTTTCTCTCCCGATGGCCGCGTTTTCCAGATCGAATACGCTGCCAAAGCTGTCGATAACAGTGGGTCTGTCCCCTCTCTCTCACTATGTATGTATATCTGTATGTATTGGATTCACGCTTCTATATCGTAATTGTTTGCTTTTGTTTGACAGGACTGTTATCGGCATCAAATGCAAGGATGGAATTGTCTTGGTAACTCTCTTTCTCTCTCTCTTCCAAATTTGTGTTCCTTGTTTTAGGGTTTATATATATATATACGTACATACTAGAGATGGAGAAGAGAAAAACTGAGAAGTTGTCAAAATTTGAAATTGAAATCAAAATCTAAACTAGTTATATTTAGGTAATTGCACAGGGATAATTTAGGAATAAAACAGAGAAATGTTTGTGCTAATATAATAGAAGATTATATATATATATATATATATATGTATGTATGTATGTGTGTGTGTGTAATTGTAATTTGTTGATTATATGAACTCTGTGGCACATTTCAGGGTGTGGAGAAGCTCATAGAATCAAAGATGATGCTACCTGGTTCCAATCGCAGAATTCATGCCGTTCATCGTCATTCTGGCATGGTAAGTCTTTTCTTCCTGTTGTATAAGTTTACATCTACATGTAATTATCAAAAAAAATGTTCCTACTATTCTGTATCTGTTTGTTTTCCTGGAATATGGGGAAAATGACATGAAAATTTTGGATTTTTCCAATTTCTCCATCCACTTCCATCTCTTTTTTTTTATGAGGCCATCAAGAGGATTAGCTTGTCTTTTATTCAATAGTAATATCGGAAGTTGAAAGTTCTATTTTAATATCAATTTCTAGGGCCACTAAGGCTATGTTTTGATCATGGATTTGGGTAGGTATTTGGAAAGGGAAGGCAATAGGTGAGGGATGTAAATGAAATATGAGCTAAATCTTTTCTCGCTTTTTCCTTTTTCTTTCCAAGTCTTTACCCAAATCCATGATCCAAACACCGCATAAATGTATTGGATTGGTTATATTTTTCCCCCGTAACTCAAAACCTACGTATCAAAGAAAAAACAAGTAGTAATGTAATGGGTGCATTTGTTTCTTATAATCATTTTCATTCCTCTATACAATGCTAGCTCTTTTTTGAGATATTTATATTAGTTTGATTCTTATTTTTAGACTACTGTATTTGTGTTTTCCCTGTCAGATAATTGCACAAGAATATGTTGCAATGCTACTTTAAGAAAAGATAATAATGACAGAAAAAATCTTGAGTTATTAGGAGCTCTTTCCTAGCCCTATTTGGAGGGTATCTTCTCCTCATATTTTGTGGTGAGACTCTGCAGCCTGATTACATAGAGGACTATTAGGATCAACTTAGTTCCATTCAATTAGCCAATCTTTTGTTGATAATATTCCTTGACATAAAAGCCATATAGGATGAATGCACACTTGAGGATGCTTTGTTTGAGCTAGACTAAGCTGCACCGGGGAACTGGATTCTGTTTATTTCTAGTGGCTTCCCAAGTTGTTTTTATCTAATACATTTCATTTGCCAAGAGGATTCAAATTACCTTGTCAAGTCTAGACAACTCAGCTTGCAAGGAAGTTGGTATATTTGCCATTATTTATTGTGTAGCTCTATTTCCTTGATCTTGGCCACTTCCAAGTTCCTTGTTGAGTGATGCCGCTACTTTTGTTTGTAAATATTTACTATATTATATACCACCCATTCCATTCATCATATCTCCAAAACGAAGGACGGGTGCCAATTATCCAGCCACAAAAATGTAGATTGTTCGTTTCCCACTTTATATTTTATGAGAGGCTGGCCTTCATTATTAAAAAATCTTCCTTATAGTATATGAAGAGTTTGCAGGTATAGGCATACCCCGTAAATTGTGATGCTTTATTATATGACTATGGACCTATTTCACTATTTTTGCTAAGCTCCCACAGATGCCTTATTGTTATTGCTTTGTTCCATAATGTCAGAGATCTTATTCCAGACCACCATTTTTAGGAGTACACACTGTCTTTCATTGGACTTTTGCCCCTGAATGTTTTAACTCAGTTCAGTACCAGTCCACAGAAAGCTTTGAAGTTCTGAAGCTCATGAGGCCCTCCCCTTATATGATATGACATAGTATCTGTTAACTATTTTTAATTAAATTTTTTCTTGCAACAATGTTAATTTACTATTCTTAGCTATTATCTGTTCTTTTGATGATTTTCTTCATGTGTGTATTTGATTTCAGCCATGTATTCATTATTTATTTTGTTGCCATAGCTTTAAGCCCACCTTTTGCAATGTATCATCAATTGCAGGCAGTTGCCGGTTTAGCAGCAGATGGGAGGCAAATTGTTGCACGAGCAAAGTCTGAAGCAACAAATTATGAAAGGTTTGCATGACCGATGACTTGAGCTGTAGAGAATATTCAATATAATATATTTTTTAGTTTTTTTATGTGAAAGCCAAGATACCTGCACAATTTCAGCTTCAATTATAATGAAAACTGCTCACATGGGAACTCGGTTACATTTTTGGAGGTTTAGTTAGAACTATAGCGTTGCGTTGATGTTTTATTCCAAACTTAATTTCAATGTTTTACTTATTCAAAAAAAAAAAGTCATTCGAGTTTCCTTACTAAAAAATGAAAGATAGATATAAGCTAAAATGTGGAGTTGTAATTTGGTTTTAATAATTATGAAGGGGATATTAATGTAAAAATTCAAACTATGCCAATCCTAAAAAAAAAAAAAAAAGGAAAGTAGAAGATCTATTACCCCATTGTTGTCCAGCTTACACAATCAATGAGAAAGCATAATAGAGAAAAGGGGCAGATCTTTGTATGATATTTATTGAATTAGAAAAAGCATATGATAAGGTTATTAGAAAGATGATATGGAGGGTTTTTGAGTAATAGGAGTATCAGATTCTATGTTTGTAAGAGAAATTTTATTAACAAAAATGCCTTAAGGAGGCAAACCCTGTACAAAAAGACAACGCGTAAAAGCTATACATCCGCTGACATATACAAATCTTCTCTCAACTGCACAAAAGAATATCGAGAGAGGACATTCAAATTTTATAGTTTATAGGACTACTATAAGGCCTACTACACTGTATGGTACAGATTAGTGGGTGATTAAGAAACTTGTTCGAAAAATGAGCTTAGTTGAAATGAGAATTTTGAGATGGGTGAGTGGTGTTGTACGAAAAGATAGAATAAGAAACGAATACATTAGGGGAAAGTTGAACTAGCAATAACTTAGATAAAATGGAAAAAACTTGTATGCCATGTGTAATGTAGATTTAAGTAATGTGTCTGTAGTAAGGATCAAAGTTATTAAAGTCAAAAGAGTTATGCAAGGCATTTTACTGCTCATGAGTTGAGGCATAGACCTCAAGGCATTGAAGTGTAAGCATTTCAAATTTCAAATTTCAAAATTTTATATTTGGTAAAAAAAAAAAAATCTAAAAATCTTAAAAATTAAATATAAATGTGTATTGTACATATGCTTTTCTCCTCAAGGCATCAAATGTTTCACTGCTGAAAGAAAGCTTGCCATCATTGAATGTAAAAACGACATTCTTAGTTTTAGCTATCGAGCTTTTTTCTTTTGCTTAAGCTTTAGCTTTGTGTTTTTTCTTGGTTGGTCATTTATTTGATTTTTTCCTATGGAATATAGTTACAAAAGAGGATCTTTCTTTTTATTTTTTTGGTTTAAACCATGTATTAGACTAAATTTAACAACAGCCTAAGACAAGCTTTCCATAAGTGTGCTCTCATATGTTTATGTGCAAAAGGCATACAAGGGGCATGCCTCAGATTGTGACGCACAAGCCTTTCAAGAGTGTCACCTAAAAATCAAAGCCTCGATGCGTTTTTCATTTGCCTTGCCTCAAAATGAGCCTCAATAAAGCCTTTTAGAACTTTGTAAGGATGAGCGATTTGATTCACATTTAGGGTAAAAAAAAGTGGAGAAAGTCTAGGGAGAACATGAGATAAGATGATTGAAAAGGACATGATTATGACTTATTTAAGGATATAACTTCTAATAGATGCACCTGTAAGAAATGGATCCTTGTGGCCTACCCAATTAATTGGAACAAATCTTGTAAAATTCAGTTATGTTAAGATGGATGAAGTGATAATTATAAGTAAATTTAGAATAAGAAACCAATGCATTGGTGGTGAGTTTGAAATGGCATTAGTTGAGGATAGATTGAGGGAAGTGAAAGTCATTTGAGATGGTTTAGCCATGTGCAAGGTAAATGTACTAACATGCCAATGAGGAGTGATTTCGTAACCATTAGATAATGGTGCCACACATTGAGCAAGGGTTTTGAATGAGTGCATCTAACCCAATTGTACTGATGCAGTTAATTTACTTAGAATAAGTATTTTGGACATTGGAGGTTTTGTCTTCTTTGTTGAGAGTTTTATGTGTTTTGTCCTCTTTATTGAGAGTTGTATGCTTTGTCTTTTTTATTGAGAGTTTTGTGTGTTTTGTCATCCTACCTCTTTCCTTCTAAGAAACAAGCTTCCTACTCAAAAATACATTTTGCTTTTATATGCATCTGTTAGGTATAGGTGGCCTTTTCTATTTATATGCATTTTTCTGGTTTTTTTCACTCAAGGGTTTTTTTACATGTTCTATTGTATCGGGGTCTTTTTTGGTTTTCTTTTGTTTTTGTATTATAAATTTTTCTGACTGTTTTGTTATTAACGAACCCTTATGGATGTTGCTCTTTTTAGCCTCTATTTTAATGAAGTTTTTCTTTTAATTTGTATTAATAGCACTTGAAATTTGAGGTATGAAGTTGAGAGTAAATATGTATCATGAACTATCATTTCAATTACAACTGTTGATTTTATTTTTTCCCTCTCTTTCTTCATGTTAAACTGGAAATGGAACTTGTTGGTTTAAGTCTATATCAAGTGACCCAAACTACAGTTTAACATAACTATTTTCTGCATTTGTATGTAACTTTTAGTGAGAAATTTGTATTGTTCTGGTTTTGCAGTGTCTATGGTGAACCTATTCCTACGAAGGAACTTGCCGAGCGTGTTGCTAGTTATGTTCATCTATGCACCCTCTATTGGTGGCTCAGGTAAGGGGAGCTATAGTTTTAACAATGTTTATTAGTGGGCATCTCAATGTTTTAAAAAGCTCTAAGCACATTGAGGCGCTAAGGTCTCGTGGAGCCTAAGCGCGAGGCACAAGTTGTAGAAGATAAGTAAAATTTTAATATAGGCAAAGTTTTAAACATAAGCAAATATTTTTAATATTTCAAATACATAGAACAACATTCAATATTCCAAAAACCATAAAAATGGCATCCAGCATTCCAAAAATTTCTCAAAAATAACATCCAACCTTAGTTTATCCAATACTATATGTCTTCCTTCACCAATTTATTGACGTGATTCTCTCTTTTTTTAGATAAGGAACTTGCACCATATAATGCCTTAGTGGTTTTGATTTTAAATCGGGACCAAATTGCCTTATAGCTTCTGTTGGCCCGAAACTGTCATAATTCACTATATTGAAAGGAATCCCAATGTCATATATCCATTTTGTAGTCTCAGAGCTTTTGCTCAATGCCAAGGCTTTTTTTAATATGAAAATTAGGGCTCAAAGCATGTGTTTACATTTTGTATAAAAGGGGTTGTGATTCCTTGTGGCTTCACACACAAAGAATAAGGATGTAGCCAAAATTTAAATGAAGCGCATGAAGCGTGCCTCTTGTACCTAAGCCTAAGGCATGCACCTCATATGCGCTATGCCTTTCCTACAGTGCCTCACTTCAAGCTGTCTGAGGTGCCTCAGGTGCACCTCGGTGTGCCTTGCGCCTAAGCATTAGGCGCATGCTTAGGTGCGCCTTTTAAGACACTGGGGCATCCATTTTTTATTTTTCTCTACATTCCTCGGTTTTCCTTGAAAAAAAAATTATGTTTGGTGTCACAGACCTTTTGGATGTGGAGTAATTCTTGGAGGTTACGACAGAGAAGGACCACAACTATACATGATTGAACCTTCTGGTATTTCATATGTGAGTTGGTTTTTCTCCTGAGTTGCTAGCTTACAGATTTGTCTTTTCACGTGCTTCCTTCATTTGCAGATATAGCAACTCTTGTTCTTGGCTACTTTTTTTGTTATGTCGTTTGGATATGTTCTAATTTCATATGTTGGCTAAAAATTTCGTGATAGAGGTACTTTGGTGCTGCAATTGGGAAAGGAAAGCAGGCTGCTAAAACGTAAGTCAATCACAAGTTATTATATGTTGAGTAATCTCATTTCTCCTTTAGTACAACATAAATTTTATTGTGATATTGTGATGCATTGAGAATCTATCTCACTGCATGGGGTGGTCAAAATTATATCGTTAAGGCATACTTAGGGTTGTTTTGGGAACTAGCTGTTTTAGTTGACTTTTTAGCTTTTTACGAAAAGACATGCAGAAAAGTAGAGAGATGAGTTGACTTTTTGTGAATTTTTGACTTTTTGGCTGTTTTAGGTGGTTTCCAAACTTGGCCTTATATTAATTATTCTGACCACTGTACAATGAAAAATGCTAGGATTGATGCTATTTTCTCAAGTATCAAATATAATATGGACTGGGCATTGATTTTTATGGTCTAAATATTCTTTGCCTTGTCATTTTTTTGGTAAGATGACTTGTTCTTATTATTGTTAGATGCACGAAACAAATAAAAAAGATAAAGAAAGTATGTGCAATTAAACCATCCATGCTCACCAGTGAAATATTAAAATATCATGATTTTTGTAAAAAATAATTTTGCCTAAATATTTCATGTTAAATTCGAAATTTTGGTACATTTTCCCTAAAATCTTGAGCTTTCCAACTTCCAAAGGAGAAAAAAATTGCAGCTTATAATGGAAAATTGCATATGCATAAATGCATGTATTTACTTCTGAGTTTGTAAAATTTACTATCCATGGCAAAGTGTCCTTGAGCAGCTAAACTTATGAGTTGAAGTCTTACAACATGAGTTAGTTACTAATAATATCTAGAGGGTGGGCCTTGGGCAGCAGTAAGGTTGTGACTGGGGTGGGGCATCACGGGTTCGAACAAGCAATAGTCACATGCAGGGGTAAGAGTCTTAAGACTCTGCATACATCTGACCCTTCTCAGACCTTGCAGTGGCGGAGCCCGATGCACTGGGCTGCCCGGTTACCACTGAGATCTGTTGCTTCCATGTGAAGCCAGATGAAGACAATTTGTGGGTTGTATGTGTTAGATTTGCGAGAGAAAAGAAAGAAAGATTTTATTGATATTGATCACTAGCTATTACAATAAGAGGCCAATTTATAAGGTTATAATAAATTGTTAACCAAGAAAGCCTAGAGTGGTGATCAAGTAACCTAAAGAAATAGGAGAAACTAGGAAACATAAAATTTTTGAAAAATTCTTTAATAGTAATTAGTTCAACCTCATATCGCCGATGTATTTGTTTTACTTTTCTATTGATTGCACTTCTCATATACTAACATGTTTATGCAATGTTGCTTTTGTTTAAATGTATTGCACAAACAGTGAAATTGAAAAGTTGAAGCTTTCAGATATGACCTGCAGGGAAGGTGTTATTGAAATAGCCAAGATGTGAGTGATTTCTCTTTTTAATGCATACTTTTTTCTCTCCAAACAGCAACTTTTGAAAGTCAAACCCAAACTAACATTTTCCATCCAGGTATCCTAGAAACTCTCTCCAATAGATGGTCATGAGAATCTATTGGAAAAGGTCAAATGTGGTAGGTAGGACCTTTGCTATAACTAGAAAGCATGGAAATGTGTTATACATGCTGGAGTTAATTAGCCAGCTTGCAAAAAACTCGAACACTTGAATATCACTGTACAACCTGGACTTATTGTTAGCTGCAGTGCAACAGATATATTGACACCTCTGTCACATGGGATGCTAAACATGACAAATTCACAATAACAGATAACTTGCATGCATTATCTGAAATTGTTTTTTCAAATTCATTATGTAGAACTGTGCAAAAGTGGATTTTTATGAGTGGAAAAACATCTTGTTCAATCTCAGTTAAGTTTTGTCTGGACCGATTCACATGTCTATGCATATATTATTCTTCAGTTATTTAAATGTTCATTCCAATTTTGGCAGCATTTATAAGGTACATGATGAAGCTAAGGATAAAGCCTTTGAATTGGAAATGAGTTGGGTCTGTGATGAGTCAAAGCGCCAACATGAGAAGGTAATCCCACATCCCACCGTCACTAGGAAAAAATATTTAGTGTAACAGTGTCACCATCTTATCTGGTGTCACCGACCAATAATAAATCACAAAGGGACTAAGTGGACAAGCTTTGTCTCCAACTAACCCAACATTGTTGTGATCCCTACAGCAAATCAAAAATGGCTCATTAGATGGTGATAACGCCATGTGGTATCACCGTCACATCCAATATTTACTCACTCGCTAGATGGATCAAAAGCACAGATATGCTGACACAACAATTTTCAAACAATATAAGATATATATGACTTCTACAATCGTGGTGCATCTTTCTACGGAAAAATCACTTTTTTTGTAACATTTTTTCTATTATATAAATCGTACACCCCATTTGGGGTGTGAACATTAGTCACGTTTTTTTTTTTTTTTTTTTTCCTGAAAATGCCCTCAACCTCCAATAACTGCCATACTTAATAACTGCTCGTACTCAACAAACTATCCAAAATTGCTAAACGGTTTTCCTCATTTAAAAGATGTTAAAAACGATTTTTCTCATTTATTAAACTGCCCAAAAATTTAAATGTATAATTGCAAACGCATCGTGTTTGCATCCACTACTAGTTATAAGTTTGGTATTTGTACGGTTGTTGAGGTGAAAAGTTGTTTTTGCTGTTTATTCTCAGGTACCAGGAGAGCTTTTGGAGGAAGCCAAGACTGCTGCGAAAGCCGCATTAGAGGAAATGGATGCTGATTGATGAACCCGTTCCCCTTCCTCTCACTTTCCTGTTTTCCTTTTTTGTATTTTACGTAGCTTATTGTCATTGTTCCAGATTCTCTAAACTTGCAGATGAGTATTTGTTTTTATACTGTTAAGTTTCTGTACCACTTTCTTAAGAAACTTTTTAATCTTGTATCTTTTGCAAATCAAATCTTGCAAAACGAAATATAACACAAGTGTATTGATTGACTATATGCTCATCTTTTTGTGTGTGTTTATTTTTTCTTGTTAATTTTTTTCTTGTTCTTGTAGTCGTTGGTGTCTTTGACTTGTAACTTCGATATAGTTAGAACTATTATCTATTTATTTTTAAGCATCGTCTCTCTTTTTGACTTGAAACTGTCAAGTGTCAAATTGAGATACAAATCATAAATTGAAGTTTATGTTGTAAAATATTTGAATAACCATAAAAAGATATGCAATTGGATTTGAATACGTATTACTTTATAGAAGAAGATAATAGAAGGATGGAGAAATGGAGAGTTCTAGATAAGTTTGGTCTTGTTGAAGTCAGTGATTATGTGTTCTTTTGATAAGTTGAAAGAGAGAAATGAGATATTATTGTGCGGTATAAGGATACCACATACGGATGTTGTGTTGAATATATTAGTGGAAGATAATCTATTCTCTTGGCCCAAATCCTTTGTTATTTACCTTTAGTCGTCACTTTCTCTTTATTAGTTTTATATCCCGTTATCAGCACGGGATTCTAGCCAGTTGAAAAGAAAAAAACTACAACTACTGGGTGGTTGAAGTAAGTATAAATAAATTTTAAAGCTAATTTTATATTCTCTTAATATATTTATGTGATACTAAATATATTATTTTTGTTAAATTTAGTAAAATGTCAAACTTTTAAAATTGGAATTCTCAGCTCTTGATATTTCTAGAAAAAATTATTTATCATGGATTCTTGATGTTGAGATCCACTTTGAGACAATGAATCTTGAAGATATCATAAAATATGAAAATAAAGCATCCCTACAAGATCACGCAAAGGCAATAATTGTGATGACTGGGTACGTAACCCGTCTTACTTTTTTTTGTGCGTGTTAGGTTCTACACTTTTGAAATCTATTTCTCTAAAGTTTCATCTCTATTAATTTCAATTCAGAGTTCCACTTGTTTGGGGAGGCTTGAAGTTGAGTCCGGGGGTTTACACTAGAACCAAAAAAATTTTTGGGCTGAGGGCTGAGCCGCACGTACGGGGTGGGGGCCGTACGTGTAGGAGATGAGGCCGCACGTGTGGAAAACAAGGGGAGGTTCTGGGTTGGTCATTGCTATATATACAGGTGCAAGAGTGGAAGTGCGGGGGAAGCGGCCGCACGTGCGGGGATAAAGGCCGCACGTGCGGGAAACACACTCCGTACGTACGGGAGTGAGTGCCGCACGTGCGGGAGTCGCTGTGTCCGAAAATTTTCTTTTTCTTCTTTCCTTGGGTAGAGTGTATAACATTTTATACACCTCTCTCTCTCTCTAAAAACCCTTTTCTCCTCTTTCTCTCTACATTTCCTATGCCAAACCTCTTAGAACTCTTGATCTCTTTAGATCTATTGCATTTTTAACCCAAGCTTCTTCATCAAAGTTGGAGAGCTAACAAAGAGCTGCATTGTGTGTGGTGAAGATCGGGATTCATTACGGTTGATTTTTGGGGATTTCACCTCTTTTCTCTCCTAGAACTTGAGGTAGGGACTCTTCTTAGAGTTATATATATATTTTTGCAAGTTTTAGTTGATTTCGAGATTTCCTCTTTAATTGTTAAAAAAAAAAAAAAATTGTTTTTGGCTCTAGAAATTAGTGGTTTTGCAAAAAGAAATTCATCTCTTGCCTTTTTTTTAAAAAAAGATTTTCTTGAGTAGTTGAATCACATTGACTTAAGGATGATGTTTTTGGTGAGATTTTACTAAGAGATGAAGGAGTGTCTAGTTTTGGTGCAAAACCTAGAAATTAGGAATTTTGGAAAATGTTGAGAATCTATGGATTTCCTTGTGTTAAATGATGGAATGAGTAGAAATTTCATATTATTGTTTGCAAAAAGGCAATTTTCTTGATGTATGAGGATTTGGGGACCTTGTTTGAAATTATTGTTAAGTACTTACACATATGTAGTTATGAAATGGCAAATTGTTGAGAACACATGAAATGTGGAATGGTTGCTACACTTGGATATATATACATATACATATACATTCATATATGATAATTGATGGCATCGCATTGAAAAGGAGAATGGGAATTGGTGATCGAATTTGATAAATTGTGTGGGAAATATTGTCAATGGAAGATTATTATTTTGCCTTGATATATATATATATATATATATTGCATTGGCATTTCTATTATTGCGTAGTTACAAATTTTGAGTTGGGATTTGAAAACATTTGCATTGGGAAAGAAATGTGGTGAAATGTAACTATTGAAATGTTATGAGGCATTGATAATTGTTGCATTACATACTCATTCAATTGATTATTACGCACGTGAATGGAGTTTGGAAAAGTTTACATTTAGAAAAGTAATATTTTGAAATGAGAATTGTTGAATTGTTTTGGGGTAAATACGTTGGTAAGTCCGGATAGGAGGTGTAGATGAAATTGATTAAGTTGGCTTGAGCGTCCGGGGTGAAAGACCGAAACATGCGCGGAGAAGGTACCACTTCTCTTCCGGTTAGCAACCGGTAAAGTAGGGTTTTGGTAGTGCTAGTTATGCCTACTTGCAGATACCAACCCAGGGATTACCTGAGTCGTATTTACCGCCCTTCTGAAATTAATTATAAATTTCTGAATCGTTGAGATTTCAAATTATCATCGAGCATAGTGGTTTTTCGAAAGATGAAAAATGTAATCTTCTTTTAAATGGAATAGCATGACATGTGCGTTTCATATTAGGAATCTTGCATAAATGTATATACTTTGTTAAGAACTCTCTACTGGGCTTTATGTTCACCCGTATGAGATTTTAGTGTAGGAAAAGATGTGGTGATCCCGCCGAGTTAAGGGTGTGAACGTATTTTGTGGAGAGTAAATGACTCTTATTTTGTTGTGGTTCATTTTGCTAGCCAAGGGCTATAAATGTATGGGTTTGTGAAACTATTTTTGTGTAACCAGGCTTAAACCTTGGAATTTGTAAGCCCTTGAGGGCATTTTATTTACTTTTGAATTTGATGTTCTACATGCTATAGATTCATGTATTGGATATCATTGAATGTATAATTCGCATGTGGGACTATTTTGTACAAACCTTATTGATTAATGATGTAAAGGTTGAAGAATTACATCCTTTCTGATAATGAACGTTGATTGTTGCACTCACAAGATGTTATATATTTTGGGGCGTTTCAACTTGGTATCAGAGCTACCGGGTTTGAATACTTGGAGCTCGTGGGAAGTGATTGTTATATCACAATGGGTTCATTTCGCATAATTAGGAGGTGTTTTGTATTTTGTGACTATGTGATAACATGCTTATATGACTAAATGGGTATGGGATTGGATTTTTTGAATGTTGTTTGCACCTATTAGATTCCTTGAGGTCTTATTAGAATGGTACTTGATCAATACTCATTCTACTAAGAATTCTTAGTTTTTCGTGAGACGAATTTCATCACAAAAGGATAATCCGTATGTGCTTACGTGACTAAGTGCTTATGTGGAGTGGAATTGAATTGTTGTATGGTAGAAAATATACGAAATTGTTGTGGTTAAACGTGTGAGAGAAGTCACGAGCACATTTGAGATTATATGCTAAATTGTTTATCTTGTTCCTTAATTAGGATGTCAAGAAGGGGGATCAAACCCGTGGTGGTAGACGTGGAAGGCATGGTAGGGCTCGTCGGGGTGTGCCTGGAGTACCGGCCTATGAGGTTTCGGTGCAAGAGGAGGGGTTGGGCCAATCTAATGTGGCCAAGCAAATGGGACAAGCAGAAATTTCGGGGCAAGCGGGTCACGCCATAATAGGGGCCCTAGCTCGAGAAATGACGGGGGCCTTGAAGGAGTCGATGAACATACTAAGGGCGGAGAATCAAGCTAAAGAGAACGTCGTAGAGACGAGAGCGAACTTTCTCACTAGGGAGTTTTTGCGGGCCAAACCGGATGAGTTCCATGGTGGCCCCGAGCCTAAGAAAGCGGATGAGTGGCTCGAGCAAACGGTGAAGACATTTGAGATGCTTCACATCGAAAACAGTGAGCTAAGAGTGACTCTTGTGAGTTACTACCTCAAAGGGGACACGGGCCAATGATGGAAATACGCCAAAGGTTGAATAGAGCCAACATGGGAAGCTTTTGTGGTTGCTTTCCAAGACAAGTACTTACCTCCCACTACTAGGGAGAGGTTGAGGCAAGAATTTCAAGACCTCAAGCAACTCAATATGATCGTGGTTGAGTTTGAAGCGGCCTTCTCTAGTTTTTCTGGTTCGTACCGAAGTTGGTGGCAAAGGAAGAATGCCGTTGCATTGAGTTCGAGAAGAAGTTGAGAACTAAGATCTTGTTCAAGGTTGACGAGAACATGACTCGGAACTATGACCGCCTTGTGGAGGCGGCGACACATGTAGAGATTACCGTGGAGGCCGAGGAGGAGAGACTCCGGAGTTTGAGGTCGAGGGGTCAAGGGTCACTGGGGGTCTATAGACCCAACAAGAAGAGCATAAACACCTTTTCATCCCAGTCCCAATCATAGTAGTCTAGATCCACCTTTTCCTTACCTAGTGTGGGCCTGGGGAAGAGTACACCGAGTGGTTTTTCTTGTTTCAAGTGTGGCCAACCAGGTCACAAGGCCTTCTCATGTCCACAGAAGGTGGGAGGACAACAGATGTTGTCACCACCACCACCGAATCGATCCCAGAGTCAGTCTTAAAGTAGAGGGCAGAGACCTATTTGCTATCAGTGCGATCAGTCAGGGCACATGAAGAGAGCTTGCCGGCAATTGGGAGGCGCATATGGCGCATCAGGGTCGAGGCAGACTCAGAGCCACTAGCAGGCTCACTTAGTCCAGACATCGCGAGCTAATCAGGGAGCTGCTTCGGCTTAGTCAGTGCAATAAGCCTATGCTCCGAGAGATGAGCAGGTTGATCAGAAGCCACAGGGGTACGTGTATGCTGTTACCGCGCCAGAGTAGTTGCTAGGATCCTCAGTTGTGGGAGGTATTTTTGTTGTGTGCAACTCTTTGGCTAATGTGTTGATAGATACTGGTGCGTCTCATTC